CCCCAAGTTGACGATGGAGCACAGAGACACGGGCATGCGACTGCGCCGCAAATGAGCACTCAAGGATAGTCCATGCCTCATGAGACGTCTTGGCGAAGACAACGAGGCCGGCAACAGCCGGAGTGAGCGACCCCTGGATGGAGGAGAGGTACGCCTGATCCTGCCCTGTCCAAACACGATGCGCCGGGTTGTAGACCGGGCCGTGCACGCTATGTACCAGCGCAGGGGACAGGGGAGGGAGCCGTCGACGTAGCCAAGCAGGTAGTGGCTCCCAAGGAGCGGGAGGACCTGCGCACGCCAGAAGATGTAGTTGTCCGATGACAACTTGATGGTGATGAGGTTGCCGAAGTGAAACGGCGGCGGCAGGGAGCCCATGGAGTAGGCTGCCGGGGGCAAATACGCCATAGGGGCAGAGACCACGGGTGCAGCCGCGGTAGCCAGGGGAATGGGCGCTGCGGTAGCCGGGCCCGATGCGGCGAGGCCAGCCATCAGGGCCGACGCGGATGCCAACAGCGCGAAGGGCAGGACATCATCGAACGGAGCAACCGCACCCAATGGGGCGACCGCTGTAGCGCCAGTGGAGGCGGGCGACGAGGCACCCGTCGTGGCGCCGGAGGTGTGAACCACCGGCGCATGGCCCGACGACGAGGAGAAAAAGGAGCCGACACTCCTCGTCCCGATTGGGAGCGACGCAGCCGTGGCGGAGTCAAGTGGACGGGAGAGGAGGGCCGCGAGGGAGGCCAGCAGGTAGCTGGCCATGGAGGAGCCAGAGGCGGCGACACCCGACAAGGCGGCCGCGGCGCGATCAGCAAGGGCGGCGGCGGCGGCGTGTAGGGTTTAGGCGGAAGCGATTTGACCTAGTGTGATACCATGTAAGACAATAGGTTTGGGAGAACCAGCTCAACCCTCTAGGAGTGGCCTATCACATATATATAATGAAGGGGTACAACGTTACATTATACGTACACATATACGGAAACTATACAGTCTAACATATACTCTAGAACAGCACAAGTTTTGTAAAATGCATGTGTAAGTTTTATCATCTTTTATTTTAAATTTTCTTTCTTCACTTTCTTTCCTCTTATAAGATAATAACAATGCATTTAATTCATTTATATTAGCATAACATTCTTACAATTGGGTATATCTAAGTTGCATGTTTTAATTTGGGGTAAGTCGATCTTCGGACTGTTGATTCTTTCGTCTAGATTCGTGCTGTCTTTTTCCCCCTAGTGTCCTTTCATGGCTTCTTGAGCTCAAATTTTGACTTGACCTTGTTCGCCGATTTTTCTTATTGGGCTTGAAGCCCGGTACTGGTTGGCTGCTTTTTTCTGTCTCATGCATTTATGTTTGTGTATACTTACAAACAAAAACAAAAATATAAATATAAATATAAATCTCACGCGCACCCTGTATGACTAGAAAATTCAAAAAAAAATAAAACTAAACATATAAATTTGTGTAACATGCATAGTCGACTGGTATACTGAAGTTAAGAAATTACATATGCGGTATTTTGGAAAATAATGGCATTTTCTTTACTAAGAATACCGTTGTGCCATTTCTTCACAAAACTTCACTTATGAGTAGAATGGTCAACCAAGTTTGATACCCCAAAAATTCAGAATTTTTGAATCCCTTTAATATTTTTTGAATTTACTATTCATGTAGATGCGTGTGGAACCATGTTCACCTTCGTATTTTCTGCAAAAAATATGCTATTATATGCTTATTTATTTTTATTTCACTTTCTTTCTCATTTTAAGGATAATACCAATTCTAGTAATTCATTCATTCTTACAATACTTATTTTTTGTGAAAATTTCACTATTACATGCTTTATTCTTGCATATTACAAAATCCAAAAATATCGTAAATTGTATGTAAATTTTGCCATTATTTGTTTATTTTTTCCTCATTTCCTCTCTTCTTAAAGGATAATATTAATGCCACTAATTTATTCTTCCGAAGAAAACTTATTTGTTTCAGTATTTCTTTTGTTCATTTAGTTTCATCTTTGTCTTGAATCTTACTAGTATTGGATTAGTTTATTTTATGTTTCAGGCAAAGTTTTGTGGTTGCAACGTGTCGAGAGTTCCTCTAGAAAATCGACTGACCATATTGGTACAAGTTGATTTTGATTCTATTGCACTGGGAAAAAGATCAACTTGGCCAAATTGTTTTTTAAGCGACTTGTCCCAAGCTGATCCCTTTATTTTAGTATGTCTTTATTTACTGAGAAAAATGAAACACGAAAATATGTTTTTTTTCTTGTGTGTGCTAATCTTTATTGCTCCATTTTATCATTGTTGCTTAGATGTTTTTTCGCCATTGAATTATCTTCCATATTTTATGCATGTGGTAACGGTTTGGTGCTGCAATCGTGTGATGCTACTTCATTTCCTGTTTCCAAGCTACAATCAAGTTTATTTTTAACCGGTTTACTTGGATCATAATTTTTACCCGCAAAAAAAGATCATATTTTTTTATAAAAGATGCACTAGTTTAGATTCGTTCTTGCAAACAATACATAGCGTGCTGTTTTGGATTGAATCTGAAGTACAGTGTGTTGTTGCAAACAATACATTGCGTGCTGTTCTGGATTGAATCTGAAGTACAGTGTGTCCCTTTCTTTCTGTTCTCCTCCACATGTTATTTGCATCATCATCATCATGTAACAAAGCACATTTCGACCGGGATTGCATGCTTGGTTTCTTCTTTCTGATCAATTCGTTTATTGGCAGTATAAGACATAGTCACTTGCTGAAGGAAGTGATCAATGAACAGAACAGAGCACTCCCGCCAAAAAAGGGCAGAGTAGAGCAGCACCACAGGCTACATGGGGTCCACACTTTGGAATGTATCTGGTGCACCCACACTTGTGATGCTATCGGTGCATCCGATGCTGTAGAACCTTTTGAATATCTAAAAAAAGATCTAGCACATGGACACAACATCAATGTACTACTTCACAAAATTGCATATCAAAATTTGAAACATTTATTGAGATACAAAATGGACAACTTTGACATCGGTGTGATAATGGGCCGGTGTAAAACGCAACTTATGTTATGTACGATCCAATGTTGAATTTGTCTTTTTTAAGCGATGTTTCAAATTTTGAGCTCAATTGGTGTGAAAAAAAATAGTACTCCCTTTGTTTCTGAATATAAGTCTTTTTAGACATTTCAAATGAACAACAACGTACGAATATATGTAGATATATTTTAGAATGTTGATTCACTTGTTTTGCTTTGTATACAGTTACTTGTTGAAATCTCTAGAGAGACTTATATTTGGGAACGGAGAGAGTAGATCACAAGCATAGATGCAGTGATATTCTTCCGGTCCACATGACCTCATGCATGAGTGGTTCGGAGAGCGGGGAGAGAAGCTTCTTGTCCTGTTATAAAAAGTGACTGAACGTAAATACAGACTCGCCAAATGGGATATTATTTGTTGACCAAAAGACCAAAGGGGTTTTGGCATTGAAAATCTTGAAGTCAAGAATAGATGTCTTCTCAGCAAGTGACTATATAAACTATCTGTAGAGACTGAGGCCACATGGGCGCAGATTCTTCGTAGTAAGTATCTTCATTCCAAAACTTTATCCCAAGTGACAGCGAGGCCGATGGACTTGCCTTTTTGGAAAGGACTCATGAGAGTCAAATCAGCCTTTTTCAATAGGACAAAGTTTATAATTGGAAATGGCACCAACACGCGTTTCTGGGAGGATACTTGGCTAGGAGAGACACCCCTCGCGCTTCAATACCCGTATATTTAAAGTATTGTTCAACGTCGAGATGCTTATGTTGCAACGGTACTTCAGTCCATCCCCCTTAACATTCAATTCAGGAGGATGCTAGCGGGTAATCGTTGGGAAGCGTGGCTCCATTTAGTGGGTAGACTGGTGGAGGTTCAGTTGTCTCAACAGCCGGATCTGTTGCGCTGGAAGCTTACTAGGACTGGGGAGTTTACAGTTAAATCAATGTATCTCGGTGTTATCAATTCTAGCTCCATTCCCAGTTCTAAATATGTTTGGAAAGTCAAAGTTCCTTTGAAAATTAAAGTGTTTATGTGGTTTGTACATAAACAAGTCATCTTAACTAAGGACAATCTGGCAAAGCGTAACTAGACAGGACCTACTAGATGTAGTTTTTGTGATCGGGAGGAAACCATCAATCACCTTTTTCTTAATTGCCCGTTGGCCAAGGTTCTATGGCGGACGGTGCACATAGCTTTTAACATTACTTCTTCGAATTCTGTCAGCACGTTATTTGGAACGTGGCTTAACGGGATAGAGTCCGAAACAGCGAGACACATTCGCGTAGGAGTATGTGCATTATTGTGGGCGGTCTGGAACTGCAGAAATGATTTGGTTTTTAACAGAATAACAAATATTCGTTTTTTGTAGGTTATCTTCCGTGCCACTGCTTTGATCCGTATGTGGTCGCTACTCACTCTGATGGAGGCCAGGTAGCGTTTGGTTACTGGATCTATCCGATGAGAGATGGTAACACGGGATATCTTCAACCGGTTTGAATGACGGTCATGTAATAGGATAGACAATTAGTTTTCCTATCTTTCTAATGACAGCCGGTTGTGACTTTGTGGCTACTTTTTTATAGGCTCTTTGTGAGTTTTTTTTTACTTTTTTTCAGACTATAAGACCTTATTGAACATATTTGTTTTTTTTATAAAGTTTGCCGTATGCATCGTTCTGATGCAGAGGCCGGGGAGCTTCCCCCCCCCCCCTCGGAAAAAAGAAAAAAAACGTAAAAATATACTGATATATACCCTATCCCGTGCATTTTCCACTCACTTATAATCTTTGGTACACTTCTTTACCCACAGGATAATCTCACGGAGCTCCAACTTAACATAATGCCGCGTTATTATAGCTACTCCTATACACTAATGCTTACCACAAGCTAGCTACATCGTCCGTGCTGACCGATTAACTACAAAGCAGAGCAGTACAACTGCAAACAAGCGACTCACCGCGCGGCGATCTCGCCGCTGCCATCCACGGACACGCTCTCGCCGGAGTAGTCCGCGAAGTACTCATCCGCCCTGGACAGGGTGTAGGCCACGTCCACCATGCTCGGCCGCTTGGCCGGGTCCCGCTGCAGGCACGCCCTGGCCACGCCCATGACGGTGGCCACGCTCCCCGGCGGGCAGTTCTGGTCGGCGAGCACGGGGTCCATCCACGCGGCCGCGCGCGCCTCCAGCCGGTCCTCCCGGCCGCGGAACACCCTCTCCTCCGCGTCGGCCAGCAGCAGCTCGCCGCCGTCGCCGGCGGCCTCGCGGCCGGAGACGAGCTCGAGCAGGACGACGCCGTAGGCGAAGACGTCCATCTTGGTGGTGACGAGGCCGTCGACGAGGTACTCGGGCGCGATGTAGCCCTGCGTGCCCACGATGTGGGTGGTGACCGCGTTGTGGCCGGTCTTGGCGAGGCCGAAGTTGGCGATCTTGGCGCGCATGCGGGCGTCCAGGAGCACGTTGCTGCTCTTGACGTCCTTGTGCACCACGCGCGGCCAGGTGTGCTCGTGGATGTACTGGAGGCCGTGGGCGAGGTCCAGCGCGATGTGGAGCCGCGTGCGCCAGTCCAGCCGCGGCGCCCGCGCGCGGTCCAGCAGGCACAGGTCCAGGGACCCGTTCTCCACGTACTCGTACACCAGGAAGCAGTCGCCCGTCGCCGTGTTGATGCAGAACCCCTCCAGCTTCACCAGGTTGCTGTGGTTCACCTGAAAGAGCGACGAAAATGTAATAAAAACGCTCTTATATTATGAGACGAAGGAAGTGGTATTTACGATCTGTTTTAACCATGCACTACGTAGTACTTTCTGTATATTTGTTGCACTCTTACTGGTACTACTAGTACATGGCAATGAGCAGATTCGGCATTGGTGCAAGCTTGCGCGTGGTGTGATTGCTCGTTGTTTTCTTCCGCGCTACGGTCCCTATCTCGCGAGTAGAATGCTTGACTTGCTTGTCATATCCTTTTCTTGGGTGGTTGAAGCTTGAGCTTGGTGATGCAGTCTTGGAATGTGATCAAAGTCATTGAGCTAGACACGTAGTCAATGCACCCATCGTACGTGTCATCTTGTGCGAAAGCAGCCTTTGTTGAAAAAATGTTTCAGTCACGTTTGTGATCGGCGTGCCAAGACTCATGTGAGTGAGTAAGCTGATGGTGGCAATTTGTGGGTCCAGGGCGGAACGTGTGAGCTCGGGTTCATATTCGAGTGCATTGTACATAGTCACCCGGATCTATCTAGACGCACTTGAATCAATGAATGCGCAGACTGAGGCGGTGAGGGTAGAAAGAGTGGGAGATATCCAGTGATGCCATGTCTCGGAACTCAAATTTAGAAGTTTTCAAATTTTCCAAAAGCATGTGTGAAATTGGCTTTTCATATATCCTTTTCCAATTTGTCTTTCAATTTTTTATGGATTATAGGCACATATCTTGTGAACATTCACAAAAAACTTAGAATTTTCTGAAAACTTACAAAATTGAAGTTTGAGATGCGATATCAAAGGTATCATGTGAAGTTTGATATCACCTAATATTTTACCAAGAAAGGGTTTCCATGAAACTAGAGCCTATTTCCCCCTTTTGTTTTCTCGAAACACCAACCTCTCCCCCCTTCCCCTCCGGGCATGTCACCGGACGAAGCAGGGATAGAGGGGACGCTAGGTTTATTCTCCCTCCGTCCCAACATAAGTGTCTCAACTCTAGTACAACTTTGTAGACATTTATTTTGAAACGAGGGGGTACAAAGTAGATCTAGGTTTAGGTTTGTCCCGGTACGGCGATATGCCGCCATAGAGCTTCATCCCAATTCTTGCTAGCGGCATCGGGTGACTGCTTGGCTCCTTCTTCTACTTCGTCCATGAGTGAAAAGATGGGTGAAATCGTAGCAAGCATATAGATGACTCACGGCTAATACGAGCCTTTGGATCTTCATCCTATGGTCCGGAAATCTGACCGTTTGCAAGTAGGCAGACGACAACTGATAAATTGACCGCTCTAATAAAGAAATAACGAGGATTTATGGACGCATCTCCTTGGAATTATTTCAAGTCCAAGTACATTGGCACCACTGCCAAGTGCCAACCGAACGGTGGGCCGTGCAGAACCAGCTCGATGAATCTGACGGCACTTGCATAGTGACAGGTCCAAAAAAATTATTTCTTGTCTCCACTACTATCGTTATTGCAGGCACGGTTCAATTGACCCGCTTAAAATTTTAAGATGCGCTTGTATTTGTACACAAACGAAAAGAAGACAGTTTGTGAGATAACGTCATTGTACTCCGAAATGTAACAATTTTAGATCACTATTCTAGTATTCTAAATGCTCTTATATTAGTTTATAGAGGGAGTATAAAATACCTGCACTACTTCTTCATCGTGTGCTTGTCCAATTAACAGAGACTTCTGTGTTTTTTCACTAAGTATTGAACATAAGTGCTCTCCTTTGTTTAGTTAATCTACAAGCAATAGCGTGTACTATAAAATTGTTATGTCCCCATCAGTGATTTGTATATTTGTGGTGGATGAACACTGACCATCTGAGTGGCGATCATCATTTCTTTGTTTAGCGGGAAATTACTACCAAAGCATAATTAACTAACACTAGAACTTGAAAAGAGTTCAGTGTGAGCTCCCACGAAATGTTAATTAAGTTTTGGAAGGAAATGGGCGTACCTTCTGCAGGATCTTGAGCTCCTCGCAGGCATCCCACTTCATCTTCTTCACGGCGAAGACCTCGCCGCCGATGTTGGCCTTGTACACGCTGCCCTGGATGAGGTGCGCGTCGTCGAACCCGTCGGTGCCGCGCTCCAGCTCCTCCACCTTGAACACCCTGTACTTGTCCAGCCACTCGGATATGTCACTCACTAGGAATCTCTCCCCTCCCACGCCGCCGGAGCCGGACGCGCTCTTGCCAGACCTGCCGCCCTCGCCGCCCTCGCCGCTCGCCACCGCGTCCCCTCGCCGCCCCGTCGCCTTGAGCCGCCTCCACAGGCAGCCCAGCAGCAGCAGCTGCAGCAGCCAAAGCCCGCCGACCACGCCCAACCCGACGGCCAGCCCGGTGACCACCCCGCCTCGGTTGTCGGCCACGTCGCTTGGGCCGGGCGTCGCGGTAGGCGGCGGGGACGGCGGCGTGGCCGGCACGTCGTTGCGGGTCACGATTGGCGGCAGCCACTGCGGCACCTTCCGACGGAGCGGCACTAGTATCTCGGAGAATAGCTGCGTGCCCCGCTCGGGCCCGTTGAGGGAGACGAGGGACTGCGCGTCGACGGCGAAGGCGGCGGCGATGGAGGCGTAGGTGTCGCCCTGCTGCATCACGTAGGTGACGAGCGCGGTGGCGTTCTGGGCGGCGGTGGGGCACTGGCAGAAGATGGGGAATGTGACCATGTCGGCGACCTCGAGCTTGGTGGGCACCACCGTGGGGTTGACGCGCTCCACGGCCTGGTACTGCGTGAGGTTCTGCAGCTTGGTGACGGAGACGATCCAGAAGGTGTCGCCGGAGCTGATCTGGTACTGCGTGGGCGCGTAGGCGTTGGGCGAGCCGGAGGGGCAGCCGCACTGGAGCGGCACGAGCAGCGGCTGCCCCGCGGCCGGCGCGGCCGAGGTGGACAGGTTGTTGGCGTGCGCGAGCATGAAGCGGCTGACGCCGAAGAGGTCGCCCACCGCCGCGAGGTCGAGCGGCACCCCGGCGAAGCCTGCCCGGTACAGCGCGTAGGCCTGGCACGGGTAGGTGCCGTTGGCGGAGCAGTTGAACCCCTCCACGCTGGCCGGCGCCGGCGTGGCGCTCGCGTTCTGGGACCGCGCCGGGGAGGGGAGCGCGCACAGGCAGAGCAGCGTGGCCAGCAGCCGCCGCCGCGTCAGGGGCATCATCATGGCTTGCGCCGCGGACCGGAGGGTGAATGGACGGGGTTTGGGGTGGTGGTGGTGGTGGCTCGCGGGTGGCAGCTCGGGGGTGACATATGCCGGAGGACGATGGTGTCGAGCTGCTCCGGCGGCCGTTGTCGTGAGCGGCGGATGCGTCGGGTGTGGGCGTGGGTGCGGTTGCGGCCGCCTGCCTGCGCTCGTCGGGTTCCGGGGCATCTTTCTCCGGCCGGTGTTTTGACTCTTGACCCGTGCGGGGCGTGTCCGATATGACGCCTTCGCGTTCTCGTGTGGATCCGACGGGGTTCCTCCACTCCGGTCGCCGTCACGGTCAGATGAGGTTTGCTTTTCCAAATTGCGCTTCGACTAGCAACAAGATTTGTCCGCCGGACCCGGTCGATGGCTGTACGGGGTGAGGAGGAAACGTGCTTGGACTTTGGAGATGCGGCACTACGTGTCGCGCTCCGTCTGTTGTTCGTGAAAGAAGGGGCGGGCCGCTGCCCGACGATCAAAATTCTGACGGTATGAACCACTCTAGGAGGGCATCTTCGATCCCAACCCACAATTTTTCTTTCGCATCTCAGAGACCAGTTCATGAATACGGATGCAGAAGACCGTCATTTAAACATAGTCGCATAAATTTCAACCCGTATTTTAACTAATCAGAAGAAATTCATATAAACCGACCGATATTCATTAAAGTTCGGATAGAAAATAGCATAAATTATTCATACATGTAATACAAATTAAGTCTAGTACAACAAGGTCTTAAATTCGACCAGATCCCGAATGTCCAACAAATTTTCATGAACGAATTATGTCGTCTCACACATACTTCATTTTCAGCTTCATCCAACAGTGTGTGCACGTAAATGACCGTCCCTCTGTCCTGTGGTACACCACGGCAGCGTGTGCGGGCTACATATAATGTATAGACCAACATTGAGTGAATGAATCAATCAACAAGTTGAGCAATAGGAAGTAAAATTTACGATCTCGTCCTCTGTCGCGTGCAATGGCCACCTTGCCTCGAGTTGATGAACCACGTCGCAAAACTTGGTGACGCTGATCTGGATAGCTTGCCAGCGATACGACAACGACCTCGCATTGCGTGATTGAATTGTGTACATGTCGTAGGACACTATGTGCTTTCGTGCGTGAAGCATTTCATGCACTTGCTCCCAAAGGGGCTCCTCTCTGCTCCTGCCTAGGAAATCCGCGGATACGACCAGCCACGCATCGCACAACAACTCATCCTTCATGTTCGGGTAGCTCACCATCCTTCTTACTCTAAAAAATGACATACCATTTGAAAATAAGCTCAATGGCATTTGACCGAACACCTGTCGGACGTGGTTTCCGCCATGGAGGTCATCAATAGGGGGCGGAGTGTACCTGGGTACAAACGGCTCTAGGATGGAAAGTCCGTCGTACAGCGAGCAGACGTGTTGGTGCTGGTTGCAGACGTCTGGCAATGCCTCTGTAGCGGCCAGAGACGTACAACGGCTGCGAAGGTGGAGGGTGCGGATGCAAAGTAAGGGGGAAAGGGCGGAGTGAAAGAATATGGGATCGGGAGGGGAGATTGGGTGGACAGGGTGTCGGTGTCCTACATTTCGGGTGTCCGGACTCCCGCAAACCTCCCTCACTTGTCTTCAATTTGTGGGAGAAAACACGTCCGGACCTCCCCTGAAACCGATACAGGCCCGCGTTGGATGACTTCACGGCCTGGGTAGTGCAGTCCGGATGGATGCGGTCGATTTATGAGTCCGCCTTGAAGATGCTCAGAGAAGGTTTTTGTCGTATGATTGGGTTAAGAAAATCACGACCCTCTCTTATGCATCCGCCGATCATGGAATTGGCTTCTGGAATGTAAGAAGGAATCATGCACAAGTGTGGTGTGTATGAGTCGAGACCCCCCATGGTGAGGACGATGGCCCCGGCCCAGCCCCCACCTCTATGGTGGTCGGCGACCTTCTCCTTGGCATTCCTCGACGGTAGAACAGGATGGCGCCCTGACACCCTCTTCCTTAATTAACCGGGCAAGTTTTTCTTCCTATAACAACTTTGTTGAAGATGTGGACTTTTTTTAAACGTGAACATCTTTTCAAATTTGTGAACATATTTTGAGAATGCAAATATTTTCTTAAATTTTAATGTTTTTGAAACCATAACAGTTTTTTCACATCTATGAACATTTTCTGAACAACGAGAACATTTCTTGATATTGTGAACATTTTTCTGAACATGTGACCATTTATTAGAAATCCAAATATTTTTCAAACTTGGAAACATTCTTTGAAAATGTGGATTTTCTGTTCAAATTCCATTATTAAAACACGAAATTGTTTACAAATTTGCGAACATTTTTTGAAAAACAAGACATTTTATAAAATATGAAATTTTTATGAAAATTTCTGAATTTTGGAAAAGGTAAAAGAAGCGGCAAAACTAGTACAGAAATTTATAGAATAAGAAAAACAATTCAGGTACCTTCTAGAAGGTTCTAAAAACCGGCAGGATCCTTCCCAAAACCGGAACATGTGGTACGCTTGCTACCTAAAATGGGCACCCCACCAAACAACACACAACCAATCGCCCCCTCGTATATGGGCTAGCCCATATTAGCAATTTTTACCTGCCCTTTCTCCCACCAGTTTTGAGAAGGTTCACCTTTCCTGAATCGATATTCTTTATTATGTGTTTTTTCTTTCGGTTTTGTCATTTCTTCTTCTCTCATTCTTTTCCTTTATATTTACCTTTCCTTTTTTCTTTTTTGTTCTCACTAATTTTAAATTAAGAAATTTGTCTGAAACTCTGTAATAATTTACAAATTTTGGAGCAAATATTTGAAATTCTAAATATTATTTCAATTTGTAAATATGTTTAAAACTTTGGAATCACTACTCATCAGCATTTTTTGAATCTATGAACATCTTTGAAACTTAGGGAACAATTTTGGAAATTGACGAACATTTTTTTGGCCATAAAATTATTTGAATACTGAGAAGAATTCTGGAAATTCGCAATTTGTTTAATCAGCTAACAGTTTTTAAATAGGCGACCTTTACTTGAATTTCCGGAATAATTTCTAAAATTTATAATTTTTTTAATTTGAGGAAATTTTCCGAATCGGCAAATGTTTTCCAAAATTCAAGAAAATTTTCCAAATTTCTCAAGTTTTTTTAAATTAGAACATTTTTGTGAAATTGTGAACATTTTTACGTATTTTCAAAAGAAAATAAATTTGGGATCATTTTTCAAAATCATGAAGATTTTTCGAAATCTCAGGAACATTTGTTAATTTGGTGAAATATTTTCAAATTTGGAAGAAAAAAATCGTGAGCATTTTTTGGAATCCCTATAGGGCACCCCCCGCCGCGAATGGGCCATCCCAAAAGTGTACGCGTGGGGCCAAGGGGAGCGTGTTTGCGCGTTTCATGCCGCACCGTGCGTAAATATGAGATCCATGAAATCACTAATTAAGAAGTACTTCTTTGAAAGATCACTCCCACTTCTTCAGATTATGATAAGTGACGCACTGCATGCGCACCACTTGTCCTAAACAGGGAGTTTTTTCTTTTTTCATACATTCATTTATTGAAAATGTTTTAACTCTTAAACTGTGCTTCAAATCTCGAACTATTTTGATCATTGGATTCCTTGTGTAGAGATCTTCAGAACTAGATCTCTGTTGATAGGTCCTGACAAACATTTCTTTTACAAAAAAAACCAGACTAAAAAACAGAACCAGGAGCATGTTTTTTTCCTTTTTGATAGAAAATATGATGAACTTTTTTCAAACTTCATGATTTTTTTCCAAAATCGATGGAATTTGTCAAATTGAGTGAAATTTTTTCAAAACCATTGAACTTTTCCTTCAAAACCAGTGAACTTTTATCAAATTCGTTGAATTTTTTTCATTTTTGATGAACTTTTTCCAAATTGATGAAGTTTTTTCAAAAATTGATCAACTTTTTCTGAAATTGAACGAACTGTTTTTCATTAGAAAAAATATACTTTTCCCCAAAAGAAATCAAATAACTCAAAAATCTAAGTGGTATAGTAAAAAATTTGCATGCTGATTTGTTGCGTGCGCGAGATCGAATCCCCGTTCTGTCAATTTTTTGCATGCTTTTTTTTCGCGAATGACTCAGTTCCTGGGCCGAGCGTAAAATAGGCCCACAAAGGGCGTGCTGTAGGCGCCATTTGCACGTTCGGGCGCCTACAGCGCCGAGTAGGAGCTCCCTAGTTGAGGAGCGCTCGTTCGGGAGCCTCCTCAAGGGTCATTTGGAGTGGGCCAAAAGTGGTGGTGCGCTCTCAGCCGTCATCACGTGTCACGCTCTGTGTGCTCTTATCGGATTTTTTTATTTTACTTTTTCGCACGCATTTTTGGCTTTTTAGATGCTGTTTATTTGTTTTTTGGCTTTTCGGTTTTCCACCGTTGTGTCGTAACTTTTGTAAAAAAATGTTTTTGAAAAGTAAATTTATGAAAAAACGCATTTTCTTTTTTTCCCTTCGCAGGAGGGACAATTTTGCTTCCGTGAGCTCTCGGAAACAAAAAAACTATATTTTCTTTTCCTTCCTTTCGCCAGAAGCACGGTTTTTCTATTGCGAGAGACACAAATTTGCTTTCATGAGAGGCACTGTCGTGCCTCCTAGGAAGCAAGAAAAACATATTTTTTTTCTTTCCTGAGAGGCACGGATTTGCTTCTGCAAGAGGCACGGCCGTACTTTTTGGAAATAAAAAAAACACATTTCTTTTCTGTAAGAGGCACGCATATAATAAGAGTGACCTTTGTAAAGAGTACTTCTTAATTTGTGATTTCGAGCAATCAGGTCTCTACTCTACCGAAGAGAATAAGACGCGCTCGTGCAGAACATAAAAAAAAAAGAAAAGCACAAAGAGCTAACATAGTCCTTACGCTCTATGTGTAAAAAGGCCTTTTTGAACAAACAAAAAGTACGTCCAAACATTGAGCAACTCCACTACTCCCTCCGTTTCAGTTTACAAATCCTGCGCGTATACCTAAATTATTAATTTTATCATTTTAATATAAACTATATGACACAAAAATCATACGGTTTGAAAATAGAACATCTGAAGTTTATATTGATATATTTTTTGTAATATATGACTTGTATTAGGTTGGTCAAATTCACGACCTAGGGGTATACGCACGCCCTATAAAAACATCTCTAACAATCGCGCTAAACAAGCA